GTTTGGTCGATACTGGGGGTTACGCTCCACAACCGCAGAAGGCTTCGTTGGCATGGGCGGGAGTTGAACCAGGACACGATCGTCGAACCGTGTGCATTGTAAGCAGGCCACTTGCCGCTACACCTACGCCTCAAGAGACACTCATTTTTAAAGAACTTCTGATCGCGGCACATTGCGATCGCAGCTTAAGAAACTTTTGCAAAACACGACCCTCCCTCCATATTTCCTCATCTGACGCTCCCTTCCCTTATCCTTTCCTACAATCTCCCTTACTTTTCCGAAATTCCTACCATTTCTTCATGGAAAAAAAGTTTCCTTCGAGTTTTCCATCTGACAAAGGGCTGGGGGAGCAGATGTGAAACGGGTAAAACCGCAAAAACTCAGCAATCGGAAAAATGTCATCGCGCACGGCCGCGCCAGATACGAGCCTTCCTCCAACGGGGTCTCACAACAATGTGGACAGCGAGTATAAAAATGAAAAGTCAACACTCAATCAAAAAGTTTTTCTCAGATAAATACGACCCCCCCCTCGCCACCTCCAGTGACCAAATACAACCCCAGCGGGGTTTCTCCAGCGCACGATACACTCTGTTACGGATATTTACCTGCTCCCTGAACAAAAAAGGGTATCGTGGGAAACGGTATCGCTTACCAACGTCAGGTTCAGAAGTCATGTCGATTAGGACCAGGCCAATCGAGCCTTCCTTGCCTAGCAGGTATATTCCAAATAGGTAACAGGTTCGCCTGGGAGGATAAATTACCTAGTCGATGCATGGCACATACTGGGAAGGACTGATCAACGCTCAAAACTTCATGATTCTCAACTTTCTTCTACTTTCCATCCCCTCCAACTGAGGAATTGCTGACACGAACAGCTCCTTGCCTTTGGTGAACATGCCAAGAACAGGTGCAGCCTCTCAGCATCCTTTCCTGTTCAACGAATGACCTTTTGTAGACTGCGTCGGCGCTGTTAGGCGAGGGGGGGTTGCACTTTCATCGTGTAAAGCCTGTGAACTCTTGTTAAGCTAGAGTAGGCTCATCGAACTTGATAAAACCTGTCAACACTTGTGAGCTCATGAAATAACTCTCCGGTTAGCAGAGAGTAAAATGCCCCTCCCCCGTCGCTGAACTGCGCCGACTGTGCCTCTAAGATTGGTTCCTTGGAAGTATTGTAGATAATTTTCGCTATGTTCATTCCAAAATAAAGAAAAAACAAGTGGACACAACA